CAGAGAAAAAGAGGAAGACCCCCAACAAGATAGATCAGCCAGGTGGCATCATTGATGGCATCAAGTGTGGCAGCAGTAGTGAGGTTGGCCCAGGATCAGACATTGTTTCGTTCTGCTGTGCATGAGGTCACTATGAGTCCATTCCGACTTGACAGCACCTGACAACAATAACAACAACAACAACCTTGAAGGGTTGCTTTACTAGGTTTGAAGGTTTAGGACCATAGTCTCATGGAACAACTCAGTTAAGTGGCCCAACATAGTCTATTAAGTTTATATTCTGCATCCTAATTTGTTAAGTAGCATCTGGGGGTATTAAAAGCTTGTAAGCAGCCATTGGTCTCTACACATTTGGAGCAAAAGAGAAAGAAGGAAACCAAAAACTCTAAGAAGAAACTAGTCTACAGGATGACTTGTCTGCACAAACCATGACCTCATGTATCCTGAGACTAGAGGGAGTAGATGGTGCCCAGCTACCACTGCCAACCATTCTGACTAGGGATACAACAGATGGTCCTGGATAGATTGGGAGAAAATTATAAAACAAAATTATAATTCTTTAAAAGAAAAGAAAAAAAAAAAGGCCAGGCGTGCTAAACCAACAATGGCTACAGGAAGCCCAAAACTATACCCAGAGATAAACTTTGAACTATGAACTGAAACTACTCCCAAAGTTCACCTTTCAGCTAAATAGACGGCTCAAAAATTTACAGTATCATTCATGAATACTGTGCTCTTTTTATAAAAAAAAAAAAATCATATCTTTATCAGATCAAACATTCAACATTTACCTAAAGCAAAACTAAGTTGTTGGGGTGAGGAGTGGGAGGCAAGGAAACTGCATTAAAGGAATCAAAACAAAATGATGAGAATGATGGCACATGTGGAAATTGTAAGCAACGCCACTGAAAAATACATGAGGGGACTTCAAAAAGTTCATGGAGAAATGGAATGATAAGACAAGGAAATTTTTTCACAATCTTTCTCAAGCCACAAAGATAAGGAAGACTTTTAATTGCATATTGCTAAATGCAAGACACCCGACTGAAAGGACTTAAATGGTACAGTCCCAACTATGACACTCTATGAATGGCAAAACTAAAAAACACTGGAAAGACAGTCGTTGGCAGAGGTTCAAGAGGGGGACAGTAATAAATCAAGCACAGGACAGTTTCAGGACAGTGAAACTAAGAGTCTATATTGGTGGGTGACATTGGACACAGACATTACTGATTTATCAAAACCCACAGAATTGTACAACACAAAGGTATTATTAGTATGTCTTCCATCGAGAGTCGTTCTGTAATTTATCTAGAACAAAGACTGGACCACCCTCACTGACTCACTTAATGACTAAGTGATTTCTTTCAGTGACTTTTTTCCTTTAAGAATCGAAGACACTAATAATAAGGCTCTTCTCCAGCTGGTAAGAGTGCCCGTGGTGCTGGAGGGTAAGCATTGTACTGCTCACCACAAGGTCGGTAGTTCAAACCCACCAGCTGCTCTGTGGGAGAAAGATGAGGCTTTCTGCCCCTGTGAGTTGTGAGTTGGAACAACAACAATTTAACTGGTAAATAAACTTTCCCCAAATTAGGTCCAGATCAGAAAGACAGATTAAATCACCTCAATATCTCTCCTAGTCTTCTAATAATGTGCAATTCTTTTTAAATCTAAAAAACAATTTTGATTGGTTTTTACTTAACTTCTGTTTCCTTTATGTTGATTAGTCATTGCTATTGAAGACAAAAACTGCATGTCAGTAAACCTCTGTAACATCAAAAAAGTTATTTCACTTGTGTGATCCTCAGTTTCTAAATTTCCAAAATGAGAATAAAAATAACTACCTTTCTATGAGTTGGGATATTAATGGATCTGATTTTGTTTTTGTTTTTTTTTTTCCCATCAGGGTTGTTTATCAACTTAAACAAGTTTGGCTTGGGGACTCCATGATTTTTCATTGGAATATAAATGCCTCAAAGGCAAAAAATTTACCTTCCAAATCTCTGTGTTCAACACAGTGCAGGATTTTTTGTTTGGCTTCCAATACATGTTTTCTAAGTAAATTTCCTCTTTCTTTTCTATCTTTCAGAGCACAAGGCACAGTGGTCTGCCCTTGGTGCATAAACAGCTATTGAATGGATGGCTGAATTACAGAGGACGGATGGATACTTTACCTTGTGGATTTGGTAAATGACGTCAGGTTGGGTTATACTTAAAATGTCATTGTTGCCTTTCAGGGGTTTGGCATGATCTTTAAATTCCTGACCACGAAAGTAGTCTTCATTTGGTTTGTACCGTTGAATCATGGTCCCCATCCCTCCATCCAGCACCATAATCCTCTGACGCAGTATGGCTTCAATTTCATCCTGCAGGGTTCTCTTCATACCTGCTTTAAAGAAAGTAAAAATTGAATTGTAAAAAAATGAGAGGTAAAACTGATATATGGTGGGGGAGGGAATTTGGAGTAATTTACGATAATTCCTAACAGAAAGCAAAGGAAGACATAAAGGATGCATTCATTACTCTGCACCATTAGAAAATGTTGACTAAAATGTTTTCAATGAATCATCAAAATGCCTAATGCAATAAAAGGTTGAACACAGAACAAAATCACTGGGGAAGCACCCGTGATGTTACCAAGAGTAAAGTCAGTTGTACTCCTGCGTCAGAAATGAGGGAAACAGGCAGCAATGAGCCAGCTCCAAGGTGAAACCAAGCTGCCACAAGTCCTCAGAGCTCTTTCCGTAACCACTCTGTGCAGACGCTCCCTTAATGAGTTCACAGGGCTACTGAGACTGTTAGGTTTGTCCTTTTCCCTCATTGTTACCAGAACTAATCACTGCCTATTAAGTTCTGTGCACCTCTGCACCTTCTACGAAATAGGGGCTGCGAACACCAACGCCTCAACTTCCCCCACACTCCATGACTGCTCCTAGTTTCCAGCCATGAAAAGCTCCTACTGCTTTCCAATTCTACTTTCTGGTTTCCAAAAACTACTGAAAAGTCCAAAACTATGCTGAGTGGAGTCACGAGGAATTCAGAATGTTGAACTTCGTCATTTCATCTCTTCTTGACTTCCCACGACACTTCACACAGCTGTTGACTCAAGTGTCTGGCTTTCTTCCCTGGCGCTCAATTCTTCTCTTCCTTTTCACTCTTTATCAGGTAATTTCACCTAATCTTGCACAAACAAGTCTTCTGTCTGGAAAACTCTCCAAATTCACCCCCCTCTACCTCCAAATTCTCACTCCATATTCTTCTTCTGTGGACCTATCATCACCACAACATCACTGTCACTCACACTCCACACCCGCTGCCTAGTCATTGTCTTCTGGACATGGCTCCCTCCTCCTCCACTCGAAGGTCACCAGTGACCTAATGATAAAAAAAACCAACTGGACCCCAATCTTAGATTTCAATTTGTCCATCTGATGACTCCACTTAGAATAGGTACCCACTTACTCCTCAATATCCAAAACAAAACTTGTTACAACCCTGACTGATGGCCCTATTTCTATGAATGGCGTTCTCCTTCCCAGAAGCCTCAGTAATACTGATTCCTCATTCTCTTCTAATACCTCAGTATTATCTGTCTCCTTTTCTCCCAACATTCCTTTAGATTCTATCTCCAAATGTTCCACCTCCCATCCCCAGTGCTAGCTCCTTTCTTCAAGCCCTCACTATACACATCCTTGTGGTTGTTGTTGTTGTTGCTGTAGTTGTTAAGTACAGATGAGTCAGTTCTGACTCACAGCAACCCTGTATAGGGTTTCCAAGGAGCAGCTGGTGGGTTTGAACCACTGACCTTGTAGTTGCCAGTCCAGTGCTGATCCCACAGCACCACACATCCTAGCCATCATAAAGCCTCAAATTTCAGTTTGCATCCATGCAAGTAATAATAATAATAATAATACTTGTTCTCTTTACCTCACTTCAGTTGTTTTATGGATTAAGTGAGATTGTAGATGCAAGGCTGTGACAACTATCAAGTCCAAGGCAAAAGTAAGAGCCTACCACCTCAACAGCTTACCCTGTGCTGCCGTCCACCCTGTATACCACTTCCAGATTAATCTTCCCAAGGAACAATTTAAATGAAATGCTTCCCCTGCTCTCGCATCTTCAACAGCTCCCTGACTAAAGTTAATCAAGTGACTAAAACAAACCCAAAACAACACTAATCTAGTCAAGTTTGTTTGTGTGTTCCCTGAGAAGGAAGCCAAGTGGGGCTGGCTCTAAGCTATTTGTATTCCCTGAAGGAGGAGACTGTCCAGTTCAGTTCATCTCTAGGTCTAGAAACAGCAAGACAGGATCTAGCAATAAATAGTTTCTGGATGGCAAAACAAAGTGAGAAGACGAAAAGCAAGAGGCAAGGGTCATTTAAACCAGTAATATAAAGATGTTTGCAAATGTTTGATGTCAATTTACATCTCTGTCTTGACACAGTAGCAGATCTATGAATAGGAGCTAAAGTAGTACTCACAGCTACTTTGACTATTCTAAGTAGGGATTTTCTCCAGTAATCTGCAAGGGAAATATGTCAATATCAAGTATCCTTCCCAAAGGGCATTATGCTTCTTCCAACATATACTATTCCTTTTCAAAGGTATCTCATTGCCTAATTTTGTTTACTGAGCTTAAAGGTAGTCAAAAACATTTCCCAAAAAAGGAACAAAACTAAGACAACAATGAGCTGCCTGCTCATTTAAAGTAACAAAAGAAAAAACAAACAATCTCAGGAAAGGTGAAGAAGTAGGCTTTAATGAGGCATATAGAGTGGCCAGTCCGGTTATTTCAAGTGATGGTCAACAAAGCAATGTCAGATGTGGCATTAATTTGGACACCCCATAATGCGACTGCCCTACCAGCTAATAAATATCCTGCATTTGAAATGATTAAGCTCTTTCTGGTGGTAGGATAAGAAAAGCCAAGAAACTTGGGGTTAGTCCCATAAGCAGCCATGAGATTCTGGACAAGACCTCTTGGCAAAATGGGTAACAGCAGTCCCGCCTTCCTCAGAGAATCTATGGAGTTGGGAAACTCAAATCACAAAAGCCATAAAATGAGACATATGTGCTTGATAAGTAATAGATGTTGTCGATGTTGTTGTGAAGTGCTGTCAAGTCGATTCTGACCCAGAGCGACACTGTATAGGGTTTCCAAGGAGCAGCTGGTGAGCTTGAACCACCGACCTTGCAGTTCAAATGACTTTGCAGTCTGACACTGCTGCTATTACACAGTTATCATCACACAAGTAACAAGAAGCAGATGAAACACCAAAAGCTGTGTTCCATATGCTACAAAATCCAGGGCAATGTGATACAGCATGCAAAGCAAAGCCTGAAGCTCTCAGCCTTGTTCATGTTTAGGAGGAGGTACAAAAGAAATGGGAGGAAAAAAGCTCATTGTTGTTTTGGAGATCAACATCAGTCTGGCAGAAACATAACAATTACTTAATAAAAACAATGGAAAAACCATAAAACATTGCTAAAAGAGACTAATGAAGACTTAAATAAATGGAGAGATGTTCCATGCTCGTGGATTAGAAAACTGAATATTGTTAATCAATACTGCCCAAAGTGACCTACAGATTCAGTACAAGCCCAATCAAACTTCCAATGCCCTTCTTCAAAATCCTTAACTTTATATGGAATGGCAAGAGGTTCCAAGTAGCTAAAGCCATGTTAAAAGAGAAGAAGAAAGGGAGAACTCCACGTCCCGATCTTAAAACACATCACAAAGCTACAATCATCAAAGCAGGCTGATAGTGATACAACAACAGTCACAGAACACTGAGCAGAAATGACAGTCTAGAAATAAACCCACATGTCTATGTTCAACTGACTTTTGACCAGTATGCTAAATCCACTCAATGGGGAAAGAAGAGTCTCTTCAATAAATGGTGCTGGGAAAACTGGGTTTTCACTACATGCAGAAAAATAAAGCAGAATTCATACCACCAACCATACACAAAAATACATTCATATTGAATTAAGGATATAAATGTGCACACTTGTTAATTGTTGTTAAGTGCCTTCGAGTTGGTTCTGACCATAGCAACCCTGTATAGGGTTTCCAAGGAGCAGCTGGTGAGTTTGAACCACTGATCTTGTAGTTCAAACCAACTTTGCAGTCCAGCGCATTAGTCCACAGTGTCACAACTATAATCATAAAATTCCAAGAAAAAGCAGGGGAAATACATTCAGGTCTAACTTTTAGGAATGGGTTGCATAATACAATGACAAAAGCATAAACAGTAAGAGAACAAACAAGATGGCAGATCAGGTGGAAGTGCTGTAAAGGAGCTCCGTCAGCAACAACACAGAATACCCAACCAAACAGGCTCAGGGGATGGTCCCAGAACCCTGAACTACAAATAAAGGAATATTTAGAAGGTTGGAAGGCTTACAGCTGGGGAATTTGTGGCAGAAGCAAGAAATCCATTGCTTTCTAGTCCGGGATACTCAGCTGCTCGAGCAGCCGCCATCTTGGGTGAGACCGAGTGGGAGAAGGATCGGAGCGGCCACAGACGCCTGACAGAACCGCTGAGATAAAGGTGTGGACATTCTTTTCTTTTGGTAGCTGTTCATTGGTCCATTGCTGTCTGCGCACCTCCATTCTGGTGACTATAGGG